TATTGCCTTGCTTAATCTGTCTTATATCACTGCTGTATTTATTATTTCTGTCAGATTATCATACTGTTAATTATTGTTGTTACTATATTTTGTCTCAGTATGGCCCTGACCTTCCTCGTCACTACCCAACCGAGGTTAGGCTTGGCACTTACTGAGTACCGTTTTGGTGTACTCATGCCCTTCCTGCGCATGTTTTTCATGTGCAGATCATCCAGGTACCTCTACTCAGGCGCCCTATCAGTGAGGCAGGAGGACTACGGAGACTTCGAGGTAGATCTGCTGCGTCCGCAGACCGACGAGTCTCCCTCTTATTCTATCTTTAGTACTTAGTTTTTCCTTCTTTCGGTTGTTAGAAATTCTGGAGTTTGGAACCTTCACTATACACTTCTGTAGCCTGTGTTGCCCGTGAGTTTTCGGGTTTTGGAAATTGTTTTAGACTTGTGATAATGAGTTGTACTTGCCAAGCGGCATTCAGTACAGTTTCTTTTAGATATTTGATTTGATATTCTTTATTTTTCCGCAATTAATATATTTCCGCAAATGTTAGGCTTACCTGGTCATGGGGACCAGGTGCCGTCATGACATGTTCACGGTTGGTGAACTAGGGTCGTGACAAACCTGCCTCAAAATTCAATGCCACGGGAGGAGCTTGGGACTTGATAATAGTCTCTGCCGACTGCAGCTCATTCAGCAATTTCGCAAGGGACAAATCCATTTTGTTCATGTTATAATTCAGGCGAAACTGCTGAAAACTGTCAGGCAAAGTCTGCAGGATCATTTCAACCTGCGTGTCCTTATCAATGTTAGCTCTAAGGACCTCCAGTTCATTCAGAAGACTCATCATCTTCAGAACATGGTCCCTGACCGATGAACCTTCAACCATTTTGGTATTCAGAAGGGCTTTCATGGCAGTCTGCTTAGCTGCACGATTCTGATCTCCGAACATTTCTTTGAGATTTTCCAGAATGTCATAAGCAGACTCCATTGGCTGATGCTGATGTTGCAGAACATTCGACATGGATGCCAAAATGTAACACCGCGCCATCTCATCAGCCTTAATCCATTTCTGGTAAGCCTTTTGTTCATCATCTGTGGCATCGTCTCCAGGTTTTTCTGGACACACCTCATCAAGCACAAATTTGTACTCTTCAGCAATTAGAACAATATCCAAATTTCGTTTCCAATCAACATAATTTGGACCCTCAAGTTTGTTTTGAGTAAGAATGGCAGTAAGGGGATTGAAAGCAGTCATTATCAATCTAGGAGACATTAAATATTTAAATAGATTAAATCAGTTTGTATTATGAACATTAAAATTCAAAACACACTATATATATACAATCTATGCACCTTGAACAACAAATTTCGATGGGAAAGAAGCTATTCTTGCAATGTACATATATAATGACAGATTTTCACTCCATAAACTTAAACAGGTCATACTCAGCTGGAGAGTAAACTGTTAATTTAAGCCAAGTGAATATCAACATTCAACATATATTAGTCCCATTGAACCAACATGCATACTCAGATGGAGAGTAAATACAAATAATCAATGACTAGTATAACACAGTGATTATTCATAATATTTTTATCCGATATGGAAAAAGACCTACGTCAATGTATAAAAATATTATATCACTGATTTTTAACCCCGGGGACCAAGGGAATTGATCCCCACAATTACTGGAATTAAAAACAACAAAAAAAAAATTTCAAAATTTTAGAAAAACAGCAAAAACACCATCTAAACGACCCCTAAATCCCAAAAAACGACTTAGGTATTGAAAACCATGAGTATTGCTCACTGGGCCGTTTCGCATGGACCTGCCAAGTTTCAGGTCAATCGGAGTCCGTCAACTTTTTGACCTCCGATTTTCTGCCCTAATTCGGCAAAACTTGTTTTTCCGTTTTACATGATAAAATTCAACTTTCAGATTATTCTAACTCAACCTCACCAATATTAAAAGGATAAATCAAGTTTTCAGAATAATCAATACAACCCATAACAGATAATCACGCCAAAACATTATAGGTTTTCAGAAAAACAAGCTTTGCATGTAATTCAAAACTTTACATATAGAACATGATATTAATCCTTATGGTTATCCTAATTATTTAATTAGATGTGAGTAGGCTCTGATACCAATTGTTGGATCATAATAAGCAGCGGAAGTAATCCCAGTATCTTATTCACGTGTAATCTTGTGATGACCCAACCCGTCGTCTCATGTATTACATCCCCGTTTCCTCCATTTATTGCTCTTTCATGTTTTATTATCAGCAACGGGTGAGTTAGATTTTAATTGAATTGGTTTGGATAGGAAATGAGATACTTAGTCTCTTTAAGGAAGGTTTGGTTTGGAAAAGTCAACTGAACGTTGACTTATTAGTTAGAAGGCTCGTATGTGAATTCTGGTGATTCGGTTAGCTTCGGGAGGTGATTTGTGACTTAGGAGTGCGATCGAAAGTGATTTTGGAGGTCCGGAGTAGAATTAGGCTTGAATTGGCAAAGTTGGCATTTTGGCGAATTCCGGTGGATAGGTGAGATTTTGATCCGAGGGTCGGAATGGAATTTCGAGAGTTGCAGTAGCTCCGTTAGGTGATTTTGGGTATATGCGCAAAGTTTCAGGTCATTCGGAGGTGTGTAGGTCGGGTCTTTGATCGAATGTGCAATTCGGAGGTTTTTTAAGAAACTTAGGCTTGAATCCGATGTGATTTGATGGTTTAGCGTTGTTTGATGTGTTTTGAGGATTGGAACAAGATTGAATAAGGTTTTAGGATGTGCTAGTGTTTTTGGTTGAGGTCCCGGGGGCCTCGGGGTGAGTTCGAGTGGTTAAACGGAGAGTTTTTGAAGTTTGTTGCAGGTTCATTTTTGCTGGTATCTGGTATTTCCGCTTCTGCGGAAATGAACCGCAGAAGCGGTTCCGCAGAAACGGGTGAGGCATCGTAGAAGCGGTCAGTGGTTTGGTAGAGTAGTTCCGCAGAAGCGGAACACTTTCCGCATCAGCGGTTTTGGTCGTTAGGAGGGAATTCCGCAGAAGCGGAATCTGAGCCGCAAAAGCGGAAGTTGGTTTTTTTAATGAGGACCGCAAAAGCGGGATTTTTGGCCGCAGAAGCGGTCCCGCATAAGCGGAAGCGGGACCGCAGAAGCAAAAGTCGCTGGGCAGAAGGGTTTTTATATTATTATTTCATCCGCGAGTCTATTCATTTTTCCTCCATTGTTAACCACCTTAAGAGCTTGTTGGTAGAAACTGAAGAGGATTTTGACGGCAATTGATTGGAGGTAAGTCTCGTGACCTAGAAACGCCATTTTATCGAAGAATCAACCTTTAATTCTTGGAAAATTGGGTATAAATTTGAAGAACTAGGGCTTGGGTTTTGAAATGAAAATTTGGGATTTGAAGGGGCATTTGAACTCCGATTTTGGTAAATTTTATATGTACGGACTCGTGGCGAGACGAGGAATCCGTTATGTGAATTTCAATAATTTTTGAAGAAGTGGGCCCGGGGCTAGGGTTTTGCAACTTCGTAAATTTTTGGTGTTTTTTCGAGTCTTTTCGATTGGTTTATGTTTTTTAAGCCTATGTAAATGTATTCGTTGTGGTTTTAATCAGATTCGGCGTGCAAAGAGGTTGATTCGAAAGGCAAAGGCATAGCGAGCTAGACTTGTGGCCGGCTTGAGATGAGTAATAGATGTCGATGATGACCTGAGGGTTTGAAACCCCGGTATATCACATTGTGACGCTATATTGAGGCGAGACACGTACTCTATGACGAGTGCGGGGTCGATTGTGACTAGGGATTGTGACCTAGTCCATTCCGAATTATGTTCGTACTGCGTTCTTGACTAGAAATTGTTTGGTAATTATTCTACTTGGAGTTTATGAATTGTTTGGGGCTTTGTGCCTATCATGTGCATCCTTCAGGGATCCCTATCACTGCTTCCATGATGCTTAGCATATTTCATGATATCAGTCCTGAGTTAGACACTGCCTCGAATGGTTAGTAAATAAATAAAGGTTTAAGCACTTAGCTCTAAAATTCCTAATAATTGAAACTAAAATGAATAATTTGATTGTGCCCGATTGGCTTGCATGCATATATATACCTGGACTGAGTGTGGATCGGGCTGCACGCCGCGGCGAATGTTACGATGATATTGCGCTTGGGCTGTAGGAGCCCCTCCGGAGTCTGAACCCCCACAGTGAGCGGGGGTACCCAAATGGATCGGGCTGTGCGCCGCAACAGTCATGTGCATTGCATTGCATTCATGCATTTATACCTATTTGTCTTATTTGTCCTGGTATTGTTGTTGTTCCACCGTTTTATGTGCTGAATCGCTGATTATAGCTTTATATTGTAATATTTCGTGATTTCTTACTTTCAACCATTATATATGTTTATTACTCACTGAGTTGGAAGTACTCACTTTACTCCCTGCACCATGTGTGCAGATTCAGGTGCTGCGGAGACTTAGTGGAGCTGTTTGCCGTTTTCGTGAAGTTTATTTTCAGGAGTTGTTGAGGTAGCTGCCTGACGTCCGCAGGACCCTAATCCTCCCCTTTATTTCATTTGTCTTTCCATATCCTAGACTTCTTTATTACTATGGATATATTACTCTATTACATCTAGAGGCTCTAGACTCGTGACTCCAGATCTATTGGGGAATGTTTGGATATTCGTTATTATATTCCATACTATTTTATTTAGATTCGGATTTGAACTTTGATATTTGCTATTTTAATCGTATTATTTGTTAACGGATTGCGTATTTGGGTTGAGAGTATTTAATTTGGTCGGGCTTGCCTAGCATTAGTGTTGGGCGCCATCACGACCGGGATTGGGGTCGTGACAAATCTAAACAACTAGCACATATGGAGATTTTCGGATTACCTCTTGAAGCGTAAACACAACAAATCTATGTCGTTCTCCAGTCCTCAGTTGAAAACGCACCAGCAGATTTCCACAGTCTTCTACTGTGTTACCCAAACAATAACCGAAAATAGAGAATTTTGGGTGGGCAAAATTCTAGCAGAAACCGCAGTAAGAATAGTAAAAAAAAACGTCCAGCCCCTATATCCATATATATAGCTGCGTTTTTTAGGTCAAAACCGTCTTCAAAACCTGTTAGGTTTCCTTCTCCCACTAAGGGATGGTTTCCATGTTTTCTCTGCCACTAAGTAACCGTTTCCACTATTTTCTATTATTTAGGCACAGTAGGGACCACATAATTTAATTAACAAGGCTTCCTATTATGATATTAATTTCAAAATTCTGAAATTAATTTTCACATAATAAACTACGAATTATTCCACTAAAAATTCGTAATTGCACTGCTTAGTTCAATTTCGAAATTCTTCCATAAAACCTTATTTAACTCCCCATGTTAAGATTCAGATACTAATCAATCAAATTAAATTACTGACTATTTAATTTATTGATTACTTCCTTTAGACTTACACTTAACTTATTTCATGTGTCGGATACAAAATTCACCGGCCGGGTTTACACATGAAAACTTATAAGCTTTCATAAAGGAGTATCATCAATCTCAAAACCGAGACATGGATTCCATCAACTTATTATTACTTCGCCAATGTATATCATTGTTATCCAATTTACCAGGCTTATTGACTCGCGAAAGAATCTCGCCTTTTAATAAATCAAAACAACAAGTGACATACACAGCTAATAATAATTATATCAGAATTAAGAGTATAAGTACATTAAATGGACTAGAGAAATTATTTTATAAAGTCAGTATAAAATACTTATCTCTACTTGATCCGTTCAATACATACAAAATGTACTAGCACAAGAAGTTGGAATTAAACCATTCCCATAATCAAGATAAATTATATTTAAAATCTTGTGCTACAATCATTCCGATGATTTGTCCAATTCCATCATTAGATTGTGAACATTAACTTTTATGTCTTACAAGAACCATTTATTTAATCTTCCGTGTATAAGCAAAACTCTATACACTAAATCATCTACTATGTAAGCAATGGACACACAAACCAACACATGATCTATTTAAAATGAAACTTTATTGAATTTAAACAAGTAAATAAATAATTGTTCATAAAGAATACTATAACAATACGCATGGCTTATAGTATATTCTAACAATAATATCAAATACAAAAGGTTAATTGAAAAGTTTCTCATTAAGGAAAAACAATGTAGACATTAAAGAAAGTTACAAATTATAAAATATATAAGCAACAAATAGAACAATAAAAGGGTCTCATATTGATTAATACTCACACGCTAGAACACCTTGAGTTCTAACTTGTCTTCAATTCAACATATAGTAGAATCTCAATCTCAGAAGGTGAAGTTCTTTAAATTTGGCAATGCAGCCCTATGCATTATATGCTTTTCTGCATTCTGCAAATAGGAATAAAAGAAAATTATTAAAACAAGGAAATATATAGAAAAACCAGAGATTATCTTCGCCAAACATAACCTATACAGTCATAACGTGATCAGTAGCGGAATCAGAAATTTATATAAGGGGATTCGAAAAAAAGATAGAATTTCATAGTTGGGATTCAAACTTGTAAGTTAAAGCAACTTTGAACTCAATTTACCACTGTCCTAAAAAAATTGTAGATAGTGTTTATATTGTAGTATATGATCATCTTGTTTAAACTTTGTTTGAGAGAGCAGGCTTAACTCTTTTTTATAACCGGGTGGCGATGAGAATTGAACCCAAGATCTCTGTGTGTCCTGGCACCATATTGAAGTATGTGTTCATTTCATCTATACTAGTTAAAAGCTTATATTATTAGAGATAACTAGCACACTTTTATCTACTTAATAATTATGTAGTATGTAACATTTTTGTCTTGTAGGTAATATGAAAGTCATGCAAAATACTACAACAAACACACCCTAAACGAGAAAATAACACTTGACAATATTTATTTGCCACTTTCCCTCAATTTAATTTGAACTTGATTTTCATTGCTTTTGGGTTAAAGAGAAAAAGAAGGATTTGAGTAATAGTTACCTCACTAGCACCAAGTTTAGCTTGATTCTTGGTCTCCAGTGTGAGCCCAAAGTGAATGTGAGGGAAGTGTGCCCACTAAACCAAAGATAACTAAATCAGTAATTATTAAACCCTCATAAGAAAGACAGCCAAAAAGAAAATTTTAAGAGGAAATAATGATATTTTTCAATCCTTTTAGAAATCAATAAAAAAGAAAATAAAAATAAAGAGTGCTAGACAGACACAAATGAGGCATTGCTTGCCTTAGTAAGCTCGAAAACGAGGAAGGAAGGAAATGACGCTAAATTTGGACTATGCATTTGGACATAGAATTTTTGAACATTTGAAAATAAAAATTGCATATTTGAAAAGTAGGTAAAAAAAAAAGTGTGGTAAATCACAATAATTAATAATTTAAAATATTTAAAAATCATATAAAAAAATTACGATCAAAGTAGAATTCGTTTGAGTCTTGAAATCCGAACACCTTCACATAATTTGGGACAAAGGAAGTATGATTGTCAAGTTTCTTAAGGATTGGCACTTACATTTTTTGCTGCAGTACTAAATGCTTCCCTATGAGTGATATCAGGATTATTAGCCTTGATCCTCTGAATTTCCTCTCTGCACATTTAATTTAGGCAATTTGTGCAATCTCAGCAAATTAATATATAGTGGTTAAGGTATATCCTTATAATCACACATTTAATAAAGATATTAAAGACATATGAGCAGCCTTACTTTATGAACTGGTTATATGCAGAAGGTACTCGCTGCCTCTTCTCAGGGGCTGAAAAAAAAAACACAAATAATTAAAGTCGCTAAATAAAAATAAATTAAGGATTTAACTTATATTCACCGAGGATAGCAAATATTTTAACATATTATAGCATGCAATCTGCCCTATTTTTCAGATTATTGATATACTATACTTTATTTGTTTAACTTCTATACACAGACAAGTCAGAGTAACGTACGTCGATTTACAATCCTCTCCTCACGAGGATTGCTTGTGATAGATGGTCGGACTGCCTGCATCCTGCTGTTGCATTTGGATGATGAACCAAAATCTATCTTGTATTCAGGAGAAGTGCAGTTGGCCACCTGAAATTAAGTTACTCACAAAAATAAAGAAGAATATGAGAAGAAATAATCATCCAAAACAAATATATCTAAACTTGTTCATGAGTGATACTTTGAAGTAAAGCTAGAGAAGGTTAATGTCCATAAGTATAGGGAAGAGGTTCTCTTTCTTCCTTTCATTTTGAAGTGTCACACTCAGGGTTTTGATTGTCACAGATCGATTGTCTCTGAGCCGAGGGTTTCCCGGAAACTGTTGGGTTTTGGATGTGTTTAATTAATATATTAAATACTTAAAAGAGGGTGAATGGGAAATGGAGGGAAATAAAATTTTTGAGTGAAAT